GAACAAGTATCAAACTTTTAAGAATCACGTCCACATTCCCTTGTCTTCGCATAGTGAGAGAGAGAGAGAGAGAGAGAGAGAGAGAGAGAGAGAGAGAGAGAGAGAGAGAGAGAGAGAGACATGTTAAGAAATGTATCAAACAATTGAAATATCCAGCTTTAAAAAAAACCCATGAGAATATCAAAGAGTCTTACTGTGCTGCCTGCAGTAGGGCTGAGTCTGTATTCTCTTCCTTTTGCAGAGTCTCCTCCGCTGGCTAACCAGGGTCAATTCCTGACATCTTCCGAACTGAAAAAAGATTTAAGAACAATTAAGAACAGATCATAACTAATCAGCTCCTTTTACAAAATGGCAAAATGAGAATGACAATATGTTGAAAAAACGGGTAGGTCTTTTATACGATAAACGTAATTGTAAATGTTTTTAGCCCCCCATCAACACAAATCTGGTAGTTCTAAAGCAGAAGGATGTTACAGACTTTTTTGTTTGGATGAATGTGTATGGATTCATTCTTAAAACTTCTATGTATTACATCCCTCCCCCCTCCTCCCTCTCTCGCTCTCACTCTCTGTCTCTCACTCTCTGTCTCTCACTCTCTGTCTCTCACTCTCTGTCTCTCTCTGTTTCTCTCTCTCTCTCTCTCTCTCTCTCTCTGTCTGTCTCTCTGTCTCTCTCTGTCTCTCTCTCCGCACCTATACATCACCCCTTTCACTTATATGACAGTATGTAACGGACTTTCCCCTTTATCTACTAGCTTTAAGCATGCACATGCTCATCAGTCACTTGGGTATCAAATGGTATGACTTTAACGCCCCTATCAACACTATTAGGTTATTCTAGGGGCGGGACCTTGTTTAACGTCAGTCTCCGATAGGGCTGAACCAAGTGGGAAGTTCGTGTAAAGTGTCTTTCCCAAGGACACAACGTCGGACCGAGCTGAGGCTCGAACCCCGAGGCCGCAATCTCACGATTACGAGTACGGTAACCTACCCACAAGGCCACCAGTCACTGGGAGCTTAGTAAGTATACGTATGCACGTGCAAAATAAATGGTAGTTTTTTTATGTGAACAAAGATGTTTGTAGGCTTTGGTTCTAGTTCCTGTTCAAAGATGCACCGTTTAATTAGCTCTTTGAGAAAGCTTGGTTGAATCGAACTTTTTTTAACAGCTTAACAATTTGTGCGTATGTGTTGGAATCCTGATGGGAGGGGATTGGCAGAAAAGGGAGGGGGGGGGGGGTCAAATTTATGTTTCCCACTCTTAGTTTCTCGCTGTACCGTAAGTCAATCTTAACTGAATAGTTGAACTATAAATAGGCCTAATTGACTAGTTGAACTATAAAATAGGCCTAATTGACTAGATGAACTATACATAGGCCTAATTGACTAGTTGAACTGTAAATAGGCCTAATTGACTAGTTGAACTATAAATAGGCCTAATTGAAGAGTTGAACTATAAATAGGCCTAATAGAATAGTTGAACTATAAATAGGCCTACTGTTTAACCACAAAAACATGGCAAGGATCATGATTTGAAGATGTGCCTTTAAAAAAATTAGGTGATAGATTTCGACCCGGAAACTGTGTCCCTCAGAAACACACACAAGCTTGACGTCTCATCGAGCTCAGCATTTTTCTCCCAGCAACTGCGGGCAAGAAATAGCCTGTCACTCTCCGAACAGCAAGATAAAATAAAACTGCAATTAGATAGCTAGTGCTGAAAGTAGTCTACATTTTCTTTATTTTTAGATACAGACGCTTCAAAAACCCCTGTCGATACAATTTATACCCGGGCCAGCCTAAGCTGAGACGGATACAACATGATTGATTGATTGAGTAGATGTTTTACGGCACTATCGACTCAATTAGGGATACAACATCCCAGCAGAAAGTTCGAGGTACTTGATAAACATTCTTCCCTGTCAGGAATCAGAATCGAGACTTCTGCTTGTGACAAGGAAGCACCTAATCGGCAATCGCTGCCGCAGATTTCAGTGATTGATTGAGTAGGTGTTTTACGGCACTATCTACTCAATTTTGGTCATTTAAGTTCCAATAGGTTTCACCGCAACAAATCTAGGATCAGTCGTGTTTTAGCAAGAGTTTGTCGGAGCTCGCAACTGCACACGGTCATATTATTATCATCATGCTAAAAGGACGAACAGACAGATTTCAGTGAACGTACATGGGAGAGATTCAAACATGTGGAAAACGTCAGAGTTAGACATATTCGATTTTCTCAAAACAGCATTTTTCGGGATAGCCCCCTTGTGCTTAAAAGCGACCAAATTAATATAGATTTAGATAGTCCAGAATGTACACAACAAAATTACTTACTGTTGCCATGATGCTAATTCTTGAAGATGAAGTGTGTCGAAAGTTAAAGTGTAGATCTAGACGCTAGCTGTAGTGCAGAGAACGAAGACACTGACACAAGTGACGGGCAAAGTGGAGTTTGACCAATGTCATTAACGTGAGTTCAATCCGTGAACGAAAAATCAGTGAACGAGGGTTCATGAAGTTTGAAAAAACAACAAGGTGTGTGTGTGTGCTTGAAAGGGGTTGTGGGGGTGAAAAAAGAAATGAATGAAATGAGTGAATGAAAGAGACAGACAGGGAGAGAGATAGAGAGAGAGAGAGAGA